AATGATGTACTACAGAGTAGGGACCTGTCCTAATGAATATACTTATCAATTACCTAGAAATCGACTGTTCATAAGTTATTGAAAAGGGTAATCATTTCAAAAGTTCTTCAAAGTCCAGGATTTGAGACAAATACAAATGTACTCACACATACTAGTACTTGTACCCAGAAGAAGGACATGGCACTTCAAAAGTTAATGCTAAAGTTAAAATTTGGTAATTTTTTTTTGCAAACGTGAGTCATACTAACAAGTAAGTTCAATAGGTCAATACATTGGTTCCCATTGAAAGATATTGTAACAAGGAATACCCATGTGAAAAATGAAAACCAGTCTCAAACCAATTAAAGTTTAAGTCAAGGATATTTTTTTTCAATCAGGCACAGAGCAAGACAGACAGAGGGGAGACAGTCAAAAACAATTAACTACCCGAATCTTTGGTTATGGAGGCAGTTAAATATTTTTGTACTACATGTACATTAAGTATTAAAATAAAGATAGATATGTATGTCAATTTCTTCAAGATTTAGTTTAATTGGGAAGTTTATAAATTGTGTCATAAATCTCTATGCACTATTCTGTATGCAGTATTCGCTAACAAAAAATTACCAATAAAATTGAGATAAGAAAATTATTGAATTACCAGCATATTCTAAGAAATAAAATGATTGCAATACAGTCCTTCCAGGATAACCTTTTGTGTCATCAAACAAAATAAGAATCTGAGTGGTATCCCATACGGAAAATAAAGGCAAACAAACTACTATAACAAATTACTAACAAACCACTATGGTTTGAAAGTAGTTTAATAGTATAGCAAATCACATGCAAATGAGCTAACAAACTATACTCTAACAAACTACTATCAAACCACTACTAACAAACTACTATCAAACCACTCTAACAAACTACTATCAAACCACTCTAACAAACTACTATCAATCCACTCTAACAAACTACTATCAAACCACTCAACAAACTACTATCAAACCACTCTAACAAACTACTAACAAATCACTGGTAACAAATCCCTCAGCAAAACACTTAAGATTTGAATTTTCCTTATAACCTTTACAAATCCACAAGTCTTTGAAAACACCTAAAACATTCATATTTTGAAATATTCAGCAAGTCTTGTTTCAGAGTATTTTAAATTCCAGGATTCACAAGTTTAGCCAATGCAAGTGCAACATTCCAACATGTTCCCTTCAGTTTAGGAGATGCAATTCCAAGCCAATGTCCATGCATCTACTTATCACATATTCTCCTTCATGTCATGCACATCTTCATTTTTCACCAAAAAAATGTTCTTCAAGCTGACATTAAAATATTCCCTGCTTCATCTGGCATGGAAAATGCTGCAATATTTCCTTTAATTGTTCTGGCACCTTATTGCAACGTTGAAAGACATCTTTTTTGTCTTATTTTCAAGTATACTTCCCATAATTCAAAACTGATCTAAACTAGTATTGGAATTATAGGTCAATCTGAAAATAAATAAATTAAAAACCCAAAGCTAGTAAAAGCATACACATCCACATTCACAGAAGATTAATTACTGTAGTTCAGCCTTATTTTAGGTAAAAAGGAACTTTATGACATGTATTTAATACCTCTTCTGTATCCAGATCCATCTTTTAATAATGTTAATTGCTTTTTTTCCAGTCAGGGATCTTATAGAATGATACTAAAAATTTGAATGTCCCTTCACCAGTTCCTTTGTTTCTGACCTGCTTGGTGGTTTGAAAATTGGCGCAAATAGCTAACACCGGATGTAAAGATTAAGCTGTTCTTGGAAACTTCAACAATTCTAGATAATTCAACCCTAAACATGTCTGTAAAATAATTTCCCATGTGGTTAGATCCAAATGCTATACTAATAAAACACTGTTGCAAGGTACCAAGTCTAACAAACTATAAAGAAATCACAATCAGCCGAAATGAAAGACTAACAAACCACTTTACTTATTTTTAGAAACAGTGGTTTGTTTGTGTGTCATTAAATGCTATACTATCGAACTATTGTAACAAACCACGAAAATATAGTTTGTTGGTAGTTTGTTGATGGTTTGATAGTAGTTTGTTAAAAATCTTTTCCGTTTGGGATGCTCTTCTCCTAACTAATTCGATAATCTGTATAACAGATATGCAAATAGCTAGTCTCTTATTGATGGCAGATCTGTATCTAAGTAATAATTAGTATAAATATCTTAAAAACCTCGTATATATCACACCGCCGAGACACTAGACTAGTGTCGTGTAAAGTGATTTGAGATTAGTTGCTGATAAAAGCCACTTTCTAAGAAATCAAAATTATATCAACATTGATAATGTTGTAAAAAGATATATTAATTAAAATAATAACCGAAAACATTTAAAAGTATCTGAACAATCATTCAGTATTTCTTACAACCCCTTTCTATTCTTTATTTGCCTCTTTTTCTCTTCAATCCCCATCCCCTTGAATTTTTATTTTGTATTGGACAATCGAAGAAAAAAAATGTCCAGTGCAATTGTTTGTGTATCAATACCGGTATACTGATGAAAGCTAATACGATCGTTTATTTCAGTAGCTTTGTAATTGTTTTAAAATAAACAGATGTCATATTCACTTTCAAAATTTATTTAAACGAAAACAGAAAATAGAATTAAATGCAAACTTTACAAATAAAATTTTGCCTTATGAATAAAAGAAATTAAAAGCTTTAGAAACAAAATAATTAAGACAAATCACTTTTATCAGTAAGGTGCCTTTATTTATGCGCAGTTCAATCTCCACGTCTAAGGCAGTCTCCAACCCGAAAAACTCGTTACACTTCCTCGGGATTCGACGTTTTGATTTCCACCAGTTATTCGAACGAATACATGCTATCCTCGGCGGACATAAACAAGGACCGTCTATGATCCACTCTCTAATCCCTCGTCACTGTCCATGATTAATTTCCCCTTTGCAGGACCGCCAACGATCAAGTCAGAAATAACCCACTCTTTGTGGTCGGTCATCAATGTCCAGGTGTATACGTAGTACCTTGAGCTATGACATACAAAGACACCGCTGAAAGGGTTGTAACGACGTAATTTGTTGACAATAACTTGATTAAAAGGAACGCGTCCATGGTGATTTTTGAGATTGTGCGTTAGCCTGGCATAGAAGTAAGCACTGCGTGAAAATTTGGCTTTACAAAACAAGTAAAGATAATGTAAATTTATTATTTACAATGCCTTTAATTGGCTTTTCTGAAAAAAGTCAAAGTTGGAAAAGGTAACCTTTACATTAACTTTACATGCACTTAAATATGATGTAATGTCCCACATTGTCTTGACTTTACAAAAAAGTAAAGTTAATATTTACAACCATTAAACACAGTATTTAGGATATATTAAATCTGATAATTACAGACCTTAAATTTAATTAAATACCATCTTTAATAACCACAATCTGATAATTACAAACCTTAAATTTAATTAAATACCATCTTTAATAACCACAAAAGTTAATAATTTCCGTTTTCCATTCCAGTGAATGAAGCCTTATTCAAATTATGAATAAGATTTTCCTTCAAAATTGATAAGTTGCGGAAATGTAAACATCATAATTAATATACATATTAAGAAAAAGCTGACTTTAACTTTGTTTATTACAATACAAAACATTATTTTTTACAAGCATTAGATCAAAATCATCAAGATTCTTGTCAGTATATGTTGCCCACATCCTATCCTGCAAATTACATACATATCAAAGACAGAGTACATTTTACAAATATGTTTTTTTGTATGTGACATGTTTTATAATAAAACCAACTGTACATTCTTAAATTTAAAGTTGTGAATCAACATAAAGTTATGTTCTCTTTCTTGTGGATATTGGTTTTAGTGGAAATCAACAACTGTCAAAATGTTTTTGTCACACCTCCCTTTTCAGAGTTCAAAACTTTTCTCCCCATACAGGCATTTTCCTAATGTTTTTCCTAAAAGAAAAAAAAGTATTTTTTTTCAGTGCCATGCATAAGTATGAATATTTTCAACGGCTTCGTGTTATCAGAATTCACAATACAATGATTAATAAAAATAAAAACAAGGCACAACCTTGCTAATAAATAAACAGTTCATACATGACCTTTAACCTCAAAAAGCAAAAAATGTTATTAGTTTAATAAGATGAGTGGAACTCTTGTTATTGACATATTATATGAAGAATCAATGGGTTAGGTCATGTATCCCTTATCACAAAAAGCCTATAAATTACAATTTGAGAAAAATGTATTTTTTAAGGGTACTACACAAAAACAAAGAATAAATCCCTGAAATATTGAGAAATCATAGGTTTCCTGACTACTCAGTTGTCAGTTTACAAAGAGAACAATATAATGCTACGTATCGTATAAGTAGAATTTTTAGCGAGGATTTAATTTTGGCATTATTAGCGAGGGTGTTGAGATCGCTAAAATTAAATATTGTTAAAAATTAATTGCGTTTTATTTGTATAAGTTTCTTAAATGTGCATTTTAAAGTCCGTAAAATAGCATCTCGCTAAAAATAAATTACCAGTTTTAAAGGACAAATCGTAAAATTTGCCTCTCGCTAAAATTTCCACATGTACGTATTTAGTTTAGCTGTACATGTATACAGAATGATACTGAAGTTATGGTTTAGGATATATGTACCTTTTTCCCCAATCGCATGTTTCAGCTCATGAACTTATTCCTGATATGGAACAGTAAAAGGACTTTAGGTGAGAGTCCCTCAAATTGAATATGACAATCATGCTGAAATAGAATTCATACCATGATTAACATTTTGTACATATGGACAAATATAGTCAATATTTTTAAAACAAAATTATGAGTTTGAAGCAAACTGCTGCACTTGGTCACCAGAGAATGAATTGATTTTGAAAATTAATACACAGTATAATCACAAATAATAGCTATGAATTGATAAACACTCTTATGTTATTTTTTATCAAGAATAATCTAAATTTAGTTCTAAACAATACTTGCCATTTATAATATGAAAGTTGAAAACCCGCATCTTCTTCATGACAGATCTTTTAATTTTCTCATGGTAGGCTGAGTAGCTTGAGACTATACAAAGGAAATTGAACATTTTTTTTTTACAAATATATGACGATATTGACTCCCGAGCAAGTCAAGCACTAAATAATGTAAATGTTTGTTCAAGTAACAGATTTCATGAAATTTATCATTAAAATGTGCTTGTACCAAAGAACACTGGGATCCTCAATGTGGGTAATCATGTATTGTTGTCTTCCTCGCCCCGTCTTGATGTTTCCTTTTCAACAATCTGCATACTGAATTCACTATACCTGTGTTTTAAGAAAATGGACACAGTTTAAAATACAAAATGATATAAATAAAAATAAATAAACTCTCAAAGTTGAGAGTTTATGTATATAGGTGTAGTACTTTTCTTATTTTTCTTGCCTGATCAGAATCTTTATTAAAGCAACTTTTAGAGTGTAGTTAACATGGTTAATGCAGATACAAATTTTTAAAATTATGTTACATTTTTCAATCCGGAAGACAAGCCCCTATGATTCATACACCTAGGCTTTACAGAATAAAGTGATGCACATAAACATTTAATACCCAAATTATCAAAAGTACTTATTTAATATCCTAGCAGAAAATAACATACAAAGCGTCGTTTTCCGTGACTTTGATTAGTTTCATTCTTTCACAACATGCACAATGTACTGATCTGAAAGTGAAAGTAAAAACGGCTGGAAATCGTAAACAAACCTTTAGAGCATGCCAACCCGGGAGTTCGAGCAGTTGTCAAGGCAAGAATCTTCCTAAATCTAGATGAAGTGTCAAAAAATTACCACTGGTTTCAAACTTCATCAAAATAATGATGCAGACCCGCTCAACTTGATTTGAAATGATTGGCTATTCAACCGGGTGCGTCGATTTACCCAAATGGACCCAAATGGAAATCAAATGGACCCAAATGGAATCAAATGGACCCAAATGGAAATCAAATGGACCCAAATGGAAATCAAATGGACCCAAATGGAAATTAAAATATAATATTTTTCATATTAAACGTTATCATGGTTATATAAAGTGAAAAAAAATAATTTATTTGAGTATTTGAAGGATTTAGATGTAAAATAAAATTAGTTTATCGTTCAATTTCTTATTGTAGTCATTTCTTAAAGTTAATTATTAAAATTTATATCGATAAATAACTGTTTTATTCAAGTTTGATCAAAGTAACTGAATGAATAAACGTTTAATAATATTTAGATAATTAAATATAGGGATCGTTAGCCGTTATCAAAGTCTATAGATAACGTTGATGATGCACGGCTACCGCTTTTTTCAGAGCGACATTGAGTATGTCTAAACATTTACAGATCGAAATTAAAAAGGAATACATTTAGATTTCTTCCCAAATCAATGGATTACTGATATAAAGAAAAACCTACGCTTAACTATACAATAAGTAGTAAATATTTTTTGTAATGTTAGATAATTTATTTTAACAAAATGCGAAGAGTTGTGTAATTTGAACTGCTGCCTTCCTTTGTTTATTAGGAGTACACAAATTATGTGACGCGTGTCAAATAATCGGTTGTTTTGATAACAATACCGTCATTACCCTACTATAGAACAGTATCAACTGTAAGGAGGTCTAATTAATACGGGTAAATAATTATATCTTCTAAAAAATTACACATTTAGATTAAGACTATTGTAATGTTGTTATGTGTTTATAATTAAAGTGATTATAGTACTTGATTTATAAACTAAAATCTAATTGATGCCTTTTATATTAATCTATATTGCAGGTAAAAAAATAATTTAATTTTAAAATATCTTGTATGTACGATCTATTTATTTTTTCTTTTTAAATGAATGCAACAGTATGCTTATCAATGTCTATATACGAAGCCGGAGTAAAGTAAAATATTAAATTATTTCTTATCTAATATAAAAGGAAATATATATTGATTTACTTAATTAAATCAGTGCTTTTTTAATATCTTATAGGGAAAAATCATTTAATGTAGAAAAAAGATTTACCGTACATAGAATCCAAATTCTCCTTGAAGAAAAATTCAGGTAGGAAGAATTTTCCCCAAAACGCGTGTTTTTAAAATGTAAATGTCTCATAATTATCTTCTCAAAGATATAAATTAATCGCATTGGTTATTGCTAAGTACTCCAAATTATAGTACAAATTCATCGATCCTATTGGATAATTACCCATTAATAATTGAAATCAAGATATGCCCCCCCCTTAAAAAATAATATGATCACATGCAAATATATTTATTCGTAAGAAAAAAAAAAACGAACTTTGACACATAATAATAATATAATGTATAAAGTATTTAATTAATTTTCAAAAACATACATGAACACATAAAATACTTAAAATAATCAAAAGAGTAATTAATTTACAAGTAAAAGTTGATAAAACCACCGTACAACATATTGAAAATTCCATTTGGGTCCATTTGATTTCCATTTGGGTCCATTTGATTTCCATTTGGGTCCATTTGATTTCCATTTGGGTCCATTTGATTCCATTTGGGTCCATTTGGGTCCATTTGATTTCCATTTGGGTCCATTTGGGTAAATCGACGTACCGATTCAACCGAATACACAGTGCCATATTTGGATTACTGTTCAGAGTAGATCGTTCGTTTCACATTCGAGAAGAGTTCACATATTACTTGAATGAAGAGGATAACATAATACTGAGCTGAAAATTGTGTGTAAAGTATGTTTTCAGTGTAGTTTACAATACAGGCTGTAAATGTGCTGGAGATTTTATTGATGTTGAAGCTTGTAAACAAAACCAATAAACGTAGGACTTATTCACAGCAATGTATGGGAACCAGAGCAGGGAACCAGTCTAGAAGGCAAAGAAACAATCGGATCACGCTCGCCCTTTTCCGTAACCGATAAAAAGATTATTTGTGGTTACGGAAATGGCCGAGTAGTTACGATTGGGCAAAGAAAATTCCGCCAAGGAAACAACAAAGAAAGAGATTTAGGATGTTGTCAGTTGTATACATTATGTGGGCCGGTGACTGCAAGGTAATACATGTGTCTTATTTGTTGCGGATAATTCGTTTCATTTTATTATGGAAATTTATCCGTCCCAACCAGTGGCGTAGCATCGTTTTTGAAAGCGGGGGGGGGGGGGGGGGGGGGCAGGCAGAGAAATTTTTTTTTACTTACCTGAAAAAGATGACAAGCAAAAAAAAAAAAAAGGTTAAAGTTGCCCAAAGTCGAAAATTCTATTTCGTGGTGGTGGTGGTGGGGGGGGGTGTTAAATAAACTTTTTCTCAGTGACAACTATAGCTACCAATCAGACTTTGAACTAACATTTCCTATAGTGTAAGTTAGGTTTGGAAAAAAAGTGGAGTGGCCAGCCCCCCCCCCCAACACTGGCAGAAATATAACTAATCTGACTTCAAAATTCCTTCCTCTGTTCCCATCAGTACATGTAACACTCTTCGCTCTCATTTTTTTTTAACTTTCATTGTATATTTTTTGTAGAAGCAAGGAATGTGGAGCTAATGCATGCTGCTAAGGATGGAAAGGTCTTGTGTTTATTGGTTGTTCCTGAGACACCAGTCACAGTTATACCTTATTTCCATTTAGGTAATGTCTTTTGAGTTTTTTTAAGTAGAGGGAACAATGCATTTTTTCATTCAATATAAATCTTCGCTCTCATTTTTTAAAAAATTTTCATTGTATATTTTTGTAGAAGCAAGGAATGTGGAGATAATGCATGCTGCTAAGGATGTAAAGGTCTTGTGTTTAGTGGTTGTGCCTGAGACACCAGTCACAGTTGTACCTTATTTCCATTTTAGGTAATGTCTTTTGATTTTTTTTAAGTAGAGGGAACAATGCATTTTTCATTCAATATAAATGTAAAATTCTAGAGATAACTTTTTTTCAACATTGTTGGATACTCACTACATGATTTTATCTAAAGAAAAGTATTTAAAATATTTCCTCACATTTTTTAAAGCTATATATGCCGTATTAGTGTTTTATTTTAAAAGTAATAAATATATGTGGTGTCTCATCAAGTTATATAAGTTATATACTTTCTGCAAATAAGACAATTCTACTCCATCACTTATAAAAGTTATGAAATATTATTTGGTAAAAATTATTTTCTCTCCGTGTCGGATAAAAAACCGCCTCTTATTGAAATATTCATGATCACGTTGTCTGGCATGTTTACAGCAAACAATGGTCCAATCTCGTGAATGAACCGAAAAGCATGATGGTCTACTACGTTGTTACTACAAACACGTGAGTTAAGGATTGTCAATATTGAGAGCACCTCAGAGTTGGTTGCTTTTTGTACCGAGGAATAATCACGTGCAATTGTCTTTTCAATGGACATTTTCGGTTGGGTGAACTTCTACAGCTGTCAGCGACTATGGATAAAGAAGTGTGGAAACCATGCTGTGCCAAAATGAAATAACCAATACAAACAAATGATATAATTTGATCAATCAAAATGGTTATTAGATACATTTGATTCTGCATTTCTTAATGGTTCAAAACAACAAAAAGTATTCCACAGAATATCATATATAAATCAGCATGCCAAAACCAGAATACTACTAAATAATATAATTATTTTCTTTACATATGAACCACGGTATTTCTGACCCCTTGAAAATAATATGAAAAATCTTGCAAGTAGGTTATCAGCATTGTTTCGGGCTAATTCGAAAGTGAAATTTGGAGTTTGGCAGTAAATTGTAGTGAATGAATAAAATTTAGTAGTGAAAGAAATTGGAACTATTTTACTTGTCAGATTTCTTCGATCTAGTTGATTTTTATTCTAACTGTTCTACCCCCCCCCCCCCCCCCCCCCCCCCCCCCCCCCAACCCACCCAATTAAAAAAAACCGATGCTACCTACCTGAATTAATTTTTCTTAATGATGTTCATCGAAATGCTTGGTTGTGTTCTCAAACTGTTTTTAGAGGCCTGGAATTCCTTGACCAATTTTATTTTATTCGCCCATTTATATTTCTAAGTTTGCAAAATGTATGGTATGTAAGTTTCATCTACATATGTTATGTAGTTCATATTAAAAAACCAAAAGGGATAATTGACGATATCCCATTCAGGGTGTAAACATAGCAATTTAAATTACTTTCCAAACATTGTATTTGACATAAAATATCTTTTGCGCTTGATATGCGCTCCATACTGAAGATCCGTAAATGTTCACCCAACCGAAAATGTCCACTAGCAGTACAGCACGGGGAAACTCTAAACAAACGGACCTGTACAATGGAGTGGGGAAAAGTTTAATTTTCATAATTGTTAATCATTTGTATGCAAATATGAGTATGGGATTAGTAGATAATAATGTACATAATGCATCAAATCTTTCTGAGAGCGATTTAAAAAAAACTAGCCTTTTTGAAAAAACACATGTAGTATTTTATGTAGTAACCCATAAATGCATTAAATGCAACTCATTGAACTGATTGGTCTATTTGTGTCCGTCACTGAACAGACGTCACAAAAAATATTTTTCTCGACCTGATGAGTCTGGCGATGCTTTTCCCGCGCACATGCGCAGATCCAGGATAAACGTCAGTCCTTTATAAATATGCATGAGAATATTGTGTTCTTTATCTGACCAGTACTTTGTTAATACCGAATAAAATTTCGTCGAATTTGCAAGAATGCTTCATTTTTGGTAGCTTATCATACTCCAGAAATTTTTGTTCGGTTTCAGCTGTGCAAAAATACTGTTTAACACGGCATACATATCTTTAAAGAGGCCAGGTATGGTGAAGAGGTAATTCATTTTTTATTCAAAATCTTATTTTCCATGCATTTGTACAGGGAGTCTATACAACATGTATACACTTGAGAGGCGAGCATCAGATTTAATTTTGAAGATGGATGACTTTCAGATGTTGTGATGAAGATTGTTGAAAGAGATTATCAACATAGAACCAATCCATATGAATGTGCAAGTCAGGTGAGGATTGGACTTCAACATTTAATCAAGAGATGTTTATATACTGCTTAGCTTAGTGAAAGCACACCATAAACATTTTAAGTATCTCAGTAAGTTTCATGATATTACAGATGTATCACTATCATATGTTTGACATTGAGGCGCTTTGTCTAAATTTCCATTATGTTTAGTTATACATGTTTTAAGTTACTTAAGTATGTCTTCAAAAGCTTGTGCTTTAATTTCAATAGAAGTAATGAAAACCTATTTAAAAATTGTATTGTTTTTCTTTATAATTTTGAAAATTATTATTATTAGGACTTGTACAACACCTGAGTACCCAGATGACTGTTGAACTAATTGGTGAACAAGAAAAGATGTCAGAGAGGGGAATCCAATACAGATGTCATGATCAAGAAAATGTACTGTTATCAATGATATGATCAAGAATTTGTAAACTTGTGGCGATTTAGAATATCTTATCTGTAATATAACTCTTCAATACTTAATTGTTCACACATTATCATCTTATCTCTATATTAATCGCCCCCTCTTATATAACCCCCTGCTGATAGTAATGACCTGTGTATTGATTCCTGATCTTAAGGATCTTATAATGTGCTCCTGATTGTCAGGAGCGGATCTTGAGTACATGTATATATATAGTGCGACAGAATTTTAGAATATGATAGGAAGATGGAAATATAGAAGACTTAGTAGATAGAACTGTTAGAGATAGATAAAGTTACTTACTTAGTTGGAATATTACCTAATATTTCTTGGATTTATATGTACATGTGGTTATTTAACTTGGATTTTATTTTTAGTGAATTATTTTTCCTGAATGTTTCTATTTGTGATGTGCTGTGTAAATAAACTGTATACTAGAAATTCGGCATCTATTTTCAAGATATGAGGAACAATGATAAATTGATTTATTCATGCAAACTGACATTATGAAATGTGTTATAAGACCGCCCGATTCGGCGCTACAAACTAACTAGGAAATATCTTTGAAATTTATAGATGAACATGAAAGCATTCATTGTTTTAAATGTTATTCATTGAGAGTTTTTGCACAAATTCAATTTTCAGTACAGTAATTTAAACTGGATGTTTGATTTTCAGTACAGTTATGTAAAATGAATATGTTTCTTATTTTGATTGTCAGTTTCTCAACAGGACATAAATGTTATTTAATCATTTGCAGAACAGAACACACAGAACTTTTTTTCTTTTTGTGCATCATACACGTTTTACACCATCTTGGTTACATATTTTACATTTATGACGTGTAAATCGAGCAAACACATGAAAATACGTGAAGCTGGATACATATCCAAACATGCATCTACCATAACCTATTACATATTTTCCAAGGTGTGTGAAGTTGAGCACATACATGAAAATGTGTGAAGCTGGACACGTACACAAATACACATGCATCTGCCACAACCTATTACATATTTTCCAAAGCGTGTGAAGTCGAGCACATACATGAAAATGTGTGAAGCTGGACACATATGCAAACACACAAGCATCTACCACAACCTATTACATATTTTCCAAGGCGTGTGAAGTCGAGCACATACATGAAAATGTGTGAAGCTGGACACATATGCAGACACACCAACATTTACCACAGACATAAAAACATAGTCTAAACTAAATCAAGCACAGACAGGCACATGGGGTGAAGCTGGACTTGTACATGATCTCATGCATTTTGCAAACTGCATCCCCGCATCTATTCTAATAGATTTTTCATCATATTTTTTGTTTGTGAATATGTAAAATGCATCATTTTGCATTACAAGTTGAAGATGTTATTAGCCTGTGTATAATAATCGCAAATCAAATAGCCTTTTATGTAATTTTTTCCACATTTTTAATTCAATTTAAACTGCAAAGTTTATTTTATATATGTACATGCACCATAAAGAATAAATATTGAACCAGTATTATATTTTAAAGTGATATGGGACCTCCATTTCATAAGCAGAAATTTATACTTGTCATCTGTATTTCTTTTTTTTTTTTTATTTTTTCTCACATGTATCTGAATGTTTAAAGGAAAACAAAAGTTAAAAATAGCTCAATATCATGTTTATATTCAAGGTTATAACTGGATATTGTTTGTGCTGTATGTCTGACTCATCATATTATGAGAAGCAAAAATACAGAATATTTTAGATCATTTTTGATAGGAAAATGAAAAATATCAGTATGCCAATTTTTCCCATTGTTATATTATTAATTACTCTATCATTAATATCAATGTACATATTAAAGATCTATGTCATCCAATTCAGAGAGTTGTAGGCAATCCTGGTGCAGATAATATTTTTTTCCTGTGTTTTGAGTATAGCGGGAATACATTGTATGCAAGGAATGTATATTAATGGTTTTGGTTGTATATGTGGGCGTGGCCAAAGGAAAGCCAATGAAAAATGGGTATTCAGTAATATGTTCATATCATTCTAAGCCAGTGCTCTTCAATACACACACCTTTTTTTTGCTTTATATTTATCATATTTGTATAAATATACTGGTAATGGAAATAACAAAACTGTTGAAATGTATTTTAATTTTGATTTTTTCATACATGCAAATATTATAGGATGTTTGTGCATTTTTAACTATTGCACCGAATGCACGTCCGGCATTCTCCTTTGAGACATTATTTACATAGCGACGGACACAGGTTTTCCATAGTTAACCATCTATGGTTTTTGCCTGGGCGGTTTTTAATGTCAGTGATAGGGATACAATTTATTAAAAGTAAAATATTTTGAATGCATTGCAGTGCTTTATTGTTTCACATTCAATGTAATGTATGTTAAATATTTATGTTTTGTTACATGTATCAAAATAAACGCCAGCTGCTCCAACTAAGCTAACCTGGCTTTCATCATAGGTGTTGTATTATTTGAGGTGTAGTCTGTCAAATAATGATGAGTCGAGTGTTTGAATCTGTAGATGACTATTTCTAATACTAATTTCAACTGGAAATGGATACAAGATAATTAAAAAAATATATGACATTTATCTTAAAATTCTGGGTACTGACTAGATTAGATTCTTTGAACTTACTGTGAAAATCCAAAGAATAAGTGTATTAAACAATAGTCAGCATTCAAATAAGACTTATAAAATATGTATATTTAATGAACTTTAATATGGCATTAAAGGTGAAAGGTTATATTTAATTATCTTTTCGTGTAAGTAAAGGTTACCTTTTCACCTTTACTTTTTGTAAAGTTAATACAAAGATGACCTTGCTTTTTGGAGCACCTTTAATGAAATTTACTTCACAAGTAAAGTTTTGTAAAGGTGTTTTTTCAAGCAGTGAAGCATTATTGGAAGGTGCGCATCGTTTGGATCTGATGTGAATATCTGAAAAACATATCAATACAATTATTAAAACAAGTTTACACAATGTCTGGGAGGTCTGAGAGTTCCCCTAAGAAAAATATACAAGTCTGTAAAGGATCTATGTAATCGCAACTAAAAAAATTGATGTATGATAAAGCAACTAGAGTAAAGGAGTCAGATATGCTGCGATTGCTCAGCAGTACAGGAAACCAGGCGATCAAAGATCAGCGGCACAGTCTGAAAATCTACACCTCTGCAAATTCATCTATTCTCTTGTTTTTGCATGTCAGTGCTAATTGGACTCCCATTTAACGTTATCACAGATCAAAAAAATACACTTTAGCATTAAAAGAATGTTCATAGAATACTGTAAATTCACCTTTTTCCCACGAAATTATAATTTTGCGTCTCAAAAATTTGGTTCAGAGGGTAGAAAATTACGCAGATTTCTTGGGTTATCATCGTATAATAATAAATTGCACATAAAGTACGCTGTGACGAATTGTGACAGCCAAGATAATGTTAATTAATTCCTCGCGACAAAATACGTCAAACACTAATAAATACAAACTCAAAGCATCCCCCATTTTTCCAAGTCTTTAAATACAACTTGTAGTATAAACAAAAGGTGTTTTGTATCATTTACTTACATTTTAAACAGCATACATGTACATGTATGGACCATTCATAACTGCCTGTATAGAACGAAAATTTTTATTTTATTTTTTTCCCCTTTCTTTTTCAGTTAACTCAAAAAAAAATCTGTCGCTAATCTTTAACCGATATAAAATCTGATTCATTTGAATATATAAAAATTTAATTTCCACTTTCCCATACATTTAAGCATTTATTTTTGCTGTACAAATACTCCTGTATAATTATACCATCCCTTTTTGTATCTGAGATAGTTCAAATTTAAACGGAAAAGGGAAGCAATAATGCAGTGATTAGTTAATTTTCTTGTTTTACACTTTGTGAATAATTAACAAGATTAGAAATAAATCCTTGGAAATATTCCAGTAGAAAATTAACTCATATTACGTGTAGTGATTTGTGTTTTGGAAATAGCATGCTTTGCTAATTCATCTTGTACCCGTGTCATCTTGAACTCTTAAAAAAAGAACCTTTAAATGGCTGGGTTTCAATACCAAAAAAAAAAAACAAAACAACCACAAGTCAGTGAGGTATATATATTTATATAATGCCAACCGACATCATGCACCGTTGCTTTATCTTTCTGTTTTTACAGAAAGTTGCACGGGATACCCATTTTGCGGATCGATACCCGATTAAGTAAAGTCATCATGCATTGTGCAATAACATTGTCAGTAAATTCAATGATCATTTCAGTCAAATGTTGATGGGTATTTTGTATTCTAATTCAACTTATTTTCATACTACATCTGTACATCTCCTACTGATTTTTTCGTTATTTCTCGATCCTGACAAGGAGCACACAGTGAATTTAACCGATCAACAAATGTTCTTCACTGCTCCTTGATACCAGATTCTACCTCTTCTGTTTAAGAAGCCAGTTTTGCCCTGCTTCTGATTTTATTTGTTTGACTTTTGAACTTAAACACCCTTTGTTATCTCCCTATTTATGATGCATGTAGTTTTACAGAGTAGGTTAAAGTTATGTAAAACAAACCCCTATTAGCAGCACCCAGGCTGGCCTCATCAGAACCATGGTCCGTGGAAACTGGACTAATCTGAAAAATGAATCAAATGATAATTTCACAGGATCCACACACACTACCAAGTAAAGAGTTCTAATTCCATGATAGTTCTATATAGTTTGCCTGATCAAGCTGTTCTTTGATGCATGTAAATAAATTAAATAAATTATACAATCAACAATATTATTCTATAAGTTAGTTGGACCAAGATAAAGTAATACATAACATATGTATTGAAGTACAGTTTCTGAATGTAAGTAAACAACGGTGATTTTGAAACACCAGTACGCTTTTATTGTCTTTATTTTTTTTTGAACTGTTACCTTATGATGAAAACAAACTATACATAAACTATACATTAACTTATTTTAATATGAAATGATTTTCTCAAAGTTAAAAACATACGATTGTTCATGAATATACCGATTAAAAATATCATTACATATTTAATGAAACGTTAGATTGATCTTTTTAGAAATAAAAGCTATAAAAGTTGACTTCGAAGGTTGACCGATATAAACAAACATTCCCGTACGTATGAGTATAATCCTATTTTTAAGGACCGATTTCAAGTACGAATATTTTAATTATCACTCTCATAAATCGATGTCATAGATACCATATGATTTCCTTTCGGTAGCATTTCCAAATTTTCAGATTAAACGTCAACAACAAAACTTATCCCTGGGTTTCACATATTGTATCTTTTTTGTTTAAGACTCAGTAGAGGGTGAATCTAGTCGAAATGCATCTAAATTCCAAGAGGAATATGTTGTGTTTGGAAGAACCTTTTTATAGTATTAAGCCCCTATCCAAACTTTGAATAAAAGGTTACCCACTAAGTCTAAGTTTCGCCTATTTCAAAATCCACACTGGGACGTTTAAGAACGTACGGATAGTCATGGGCGCCAGTCTTATTAAAATCGACGTAACTGCTTATGATTATAAAAAGTTAGTCTTTAATTCATTACGTTTTCACCAAACTCGATTTTGTGTCTAAGAAAATTTTGAATAGTCTATTTATAAAAGTCAAAGAAAGTACACTTTTGAGGACCTAAACACGAGAACACTGATTTGGGTCTATTTCAATTGTTGTTGCAAATCAAAGGCTGCTTTAAGGTGAAGATCTAGTAAATGAAAGGTGC